CGGCGGCGCTCCCGCTGACCTCACCATGGCCGACCTCAGCGACGAAGACGAGGCCGCAGATCACACAGACTCCTCGGCCTCAGACGCCGACTCCAGCGGCGTGCCAGATACCTCAGCCTCGGTCACTCCAGACAAGTCATCTACCGAGGCCCACGATGACCTCAGGCGGACGTGGGCTGACGAGAAGGTGCGCAACAATCGAGAACGGGACACTATGAGCTCGCGATTTACTGGTGAGTTTCACTGCTCGGAACATCCTCAATCTAAAACTGACAATGCGCCTTTCCCAGCCTTGTCTCTGAACAATCTCTCGGCATCCATGTCTACGGAGCATGTCCACAAGGACCACCCGCCGCTTCCGTTCGCAACTATGGACGACTCGCCCGAGCTGGCAGCCCCGATTGCTCCACGGCCATTATCAAGTTCTCAATCGTCATTTTCCACCTCTTCGGCAAGTTCAGAGGATGCTCCAGATGTCGACGAGCTCGCCAACGTCGGTACGACATTTGACGGCGACCGAGAGATAACGCCTGAAGAAAAGCTGGCTGCTATTGTGAACGAATTTGGCGACGTGTCAAGCATCTACGAGGGGGATGAGCCCGAACGTCTCCTGGCGGAAAGCAAGGGCAGTCTGTTCAAGTAGGCGATGTGTACAGTTACGTTGGCAATGCTCATGCTGCTACAGGAGCGTCATGGTAGTCGGTAATCACCATCTGACAACCCACCGACTATTGTTTCATGCCTACTTGCCGCCCGATAACGAGACTTGGTCCAACTTGTCGGCTCCGCAAACAGCCGATGTCACCAATGATGCCGTCTCTCACCAGCCCGATCTCCTGCATTCCGGACCTGTGACTATCCACCGGCCAGGGCCTATCAGGACCAGTCGGCGGGTGTGGATGGAGCTGAGCTCGGAGATGGTCACAACTTTTCCCAGTGCTGACGAAGCGGGACGTGTGCGGCCTCTTCGATGTGTTCTTTGTAAGCATGCGTGCATCTGCGCATCAGCCATGTTGCTGACTGGGTGCAGTATCGTCTATCAAGAAATGCGATCCCTTGGACCCTGACCATCCTTGTGACTTTTACGTCACTTATGACACGCCATCCGGTCATCGACAGAGTCACTTTACAGTCGACACCGAGGTGAGCATATTTCTCTCGACTACTATCGATACTGACGAGTGTAGCAATCCGCCATTCAGTGGCGTCGAGCTCTAAACGCGGCCATCTTTCGCCAGCTACGCCACAAATGGCGTCAGATCGCCCCCAGCACCAACCGCCTTGACTCTTCCGACTGGTCCGTCATTCGCATCTGCATCCCTCTCGACCGCGTTACCCTCCGCGGCGTCAACAGCTTCCACTCCTTTGCCACCCTCATCGGGATGGATATTGCGATGGACGGGGTGAGGATAAGCAAGGCCATGTTGCCGGTTGTACAGGGGGATTGGTCGAAAGATGATCCCGTTGAGTCGGAAGGACACAAGCCGCTCTTGTCCCCGTCTTTGACAAGGACGCAGAAGACTGGATCCTTTCTCCATCGGCGCAGTCTTTCTCTCAGTCGCAGGCCGCAATCTCCGGCCAGAAGCGACATTCCCAAATCCTCTGACACAGCCGTCTACGATTCACTAGAGACTCTCGGCTTGCAGCCCTCTGACCAAGGTACAATCAGTTTCAATATCGGGGTATTAAATGAGCAAGCATGGTTTGCGCAAGCGATCCGCTCGGCGGTTCATGCCTCGCAAGGACGCAAGTGCAAGCCTGACATGAAGCGTCCCAAGCTCGTATGGGAAGTTGGAGGACATGATTGTCTGGCGACAGACGAAGAGCTAGATGCGGAGAAGGCTCAAAGCGGGTCGATGGACTCGGAGGAGGCCGAAGAGGATGATGATGATGGGGGTTTGGTGCAAGAAACGAGAAAGAGGGAAAAAGCGTTGATGGCGGCAAAAGTGTTTGGGCTCAAAGAGGAAGAGGGGATATGGAGTGAGTGCATGTTTCATTGTCGTAAGGTGTGATACCAACATACAATAGTCAAACGGTGCTATGTTGCGACAGCTCTCATCCCTGCGCGTGGCCACATCATCGTCACGCCTCGCTATATCTGCTTCTGGCGACGTGTCACGGTTGGATCAGACATCAAGTATCGATTCCCAATCGAGGACGTCAAGGGTGCTGCCACAGCGCCGAGTCTCCGTGCGAGGTTCCATGGCCTTGCCTTGCAGGTGCATGGTCATAAAGATGTGCGCTTCGAGTTTTGGAACAAGGAAGCTAGAGACGAGGTAAGTCAACAGAATGATCTCAATTCCTACGAGGCTGACGATGAGCAGGTCATTCTTCGAATAAATGCTACTTGCGGCACTCGAGGACGGGGACACAGCGGAGACTACTCACCTTCTCCCCAAGATTCTCAGCCCCAGCCCGCTACACCCGTCTCTTTCGAGAGTATTGAGCGCGTCGCATCCCCCGCCGGCGACCCTCTCCTCGAACACCCTGCCGACATTCTCGCTCTTCCAAAGAACGCTCTCATCCAGCCAGTGCCCATGAACGACGAAGTGCTATCACACATGCCATTCGTGGCGAATAAACCACCGGGATTTACTAAAATCAAACCTAGGACTTTTACATGCTTGACGATTGGTTCGCGTGGCGACGTGCAGCCGTATATTGCGCTTGGTCTGCGCCTGATGAAGGACGGTCACAAGGTCGTCATCGTTACGCACGGCGAATTCAAGACATGGGTTGAGGGGTACGGGATCGAGCATCGACAGGCAGGGGGGGATCCGACGGCGTTGATGAAGCTCAGTCAAGAGCACCGAATGTTCTCACCCGGCTTTTTCAAAGAGTCTCTAGGGGCTTTTAGGCAGTGGCTCGACGACTGTAAGTTGGATCAACATATCATTGATCACCGTGCTGATCTATGTGCCAGTGTTGCTTGACTCTTGGAATGCTTGCCACGACGCGGATGTTCTCATTGAAAGCCCATCCGCCATGGCCGGTATACATATCGCTGAGGCTCTCAAGATTCCGTATTTCCGGGCGTTCACCATGCCCTGGACGAGAACCGCGGCCTACCCGCAAGCTTTCCTTGTGCCAGCCTTTGAGATGGGCCCGAGCTTCAATTACTCTACCTACGTCTTGTACGACAATATCATTTGGAAGGCTACAGCGCCGCAGATCAATCGCTGGCGTAAAACGCACCTGGGCATCAAGAGCACAGATATGGCTGCATTGTCAGTAACCAAGGTGCCGTTTTTGTACAACTTTAGCTCTTCAGTGGTACCGAAGCCGTTGGATTGGCATGACGATATCATGATCACTGGGTATTGGAATTTGGAGGACAGCGACACGGATTGGTCGCCTCCAACCAAGCTTGATGAGTTTATCGCAGAGGCCAAGAAAGATGGCAAGCCTTTGGTCTATATTGTAAGTTGTTGCGGCCTATGTGTCGAAACCTTCTCATCGCCTTCTTAGGGATTTGGGTCGATTGTCGTTCCCCGACCAAATGCAATGACCAAAAGCATTATCAAGGCTGTCGAGAAAGGTGAGTTTTGCCTTGGGTGAAAAAAGGTGCACCGAACTGACATTATGCTTTAGCCGACGTCCGCGCCATCATTGCCAAGGGGTGGTCTTCTCGAGGTGGTGATCCAGCCACGGAAGGCGAGCACATCGAGTTCCCAGCAAGTTGCTATGGTGTCGACAAGATCCCTCATGCCTGGCTATTCCCCAGAGGTAAGTGATGTTGCTACATGCATGAGTGAGATACTGACAGCATGTAGTGCAAGCGGCTTTGCATCACGGAGGAGCGGGAACAGTGGGGGCAAGTCTACGAGCTGGAATTCCCACTCTCATCAAACCTTGGTTTGGGTAAGAACACGTCTATCCGGAAAAGACATGTCTAACAATGCTACAGTGATCAGTTCTTTTGGTCCATCCGTGTAACAAAGCTGGGCGTTGGACTCAAGGTGGCATCTCTGCATGCTGATGATATCGCTTCGGCTTTGACCAAAGCCACATCAGACAGGGTGATGATCGAAAAGGCGGCGAGAATTGGGGAGAGAATAAGGTCAGAGAACGGAGTAGACACGGCGGTAAAGGCGATCAGCGACAACATCATAAGGGCAGGAGGGGACAGGAGGAAGATGCAGTGGGCCAAATGATGAGCGCCGTGTAGTAATTATCTTGTTCCATGTTGTAACATGCCCTACTCATGTATCCGTATGGATTATAAGTTGCCATAACAGTGATCTGTGTACGAGGGAATGTTCAACTCGCTTGCCGTGATCTCAAAGCAGCTAGAGGACCATTGGCGTGTCCATTAAGGTCACCGAATACATCGCTGTCTGACAGATGGTCCGGAGGGTGGAGCTCGAACACTTCTCCATGTGGTTCATCATTTGATGTATCAGAATTGCTAGGTCAAGTCGATGACTCGTCGGCTCGATGCTTATTTTCACCGCACCCCCTCGGCATGAGAAAAGATGCATTGGGTGGGCTCATCGGCAAGACTAACCTGCGATGTGCGATGGAACTGTCGGTAGCAGAAAAGCGGCGCAGAAGAGTGCATGGAGAGTTGACTCGCTCGTGAAATGTATGCATCGACATGCATTGTTCGTGCCAATACATACCGTGGATACAAGGGCATGAATTTCACAGGGGCTGGATGCTGGATGAAGACGCAGCGAATTGCCAAAGACAAGAAAAGACGGGAAAGCGACAGGAAAGCGACAGCTTAATAACGTTGATAAGTCTGGAAGAGGCACAGATCAAGGGCCTGACGACGCTTGTTTGTCACTTTCCCAGGGAATGGCCCATGGTCGGGTTCTAGACTCGGAGAACGTATGGAGTAACTGTGGGTGACGAGGGCCGGGACGGGCTGCAAGCTGGGTGCTCTGGGTGAAAGAGAGACCGCGAAAAGAATGAGGCGGCGTAGGGCAGGGCGGGAACAATAAACGAATGCACCGAGGACAACAAAACGGAAGCCGCATGCTAATCGTGTATTGTTCTCAATCATCTCTCCGTTTCTCTCTTTTCTCTCTTCTTTTCCCTCCGAATCAGATCCATTTCTGCTCCGCTCAAGTCCCCCCCGCCACCAGCCTCGCCTCCCCGCTTACACCCTCTACTGGCTTTACCGACCAACTCTCATCACCAGGGCGGGTCATCCCCCCTCATGGTATCCACAAGACCATCCCCCGCGCCGCCCAAGGGCCGGGTTGCGTACCCCAATGCGGCCAGCTATACCCCAGGAGACGCCGGCACTTCACCCGCCTACCTGAAACCGTTCTCCCCTATCAAGCCGGTGACTTCGCGCGACTCGGACAAGGAGCGCGCACAAGGACTCAAGACGTGGTGGAAGGGCTTCAGAGAGAAAGAAGCTGCCGAGGCAGACAAGCTAGCCCATGGTGAGCAGCGGAATCTTGCTTGCGCCGGGTGCAACTGATCAAGGACTCAGACGGGCGAGTGGTCTTTGGCGTGCCACTGGAAGTGTCCATGCAATACGCCTCTTCACAGGTCTCGGCAGATGGAGACGACGGTGCTCTTTATGTGTTTGGGTGTGTCATTGTTGAGTCCATGGGATTTTTCCCCGCTGACAGGTCACAGTGCCATACCTGTGGTCATGGCAAAGTGTGGGCTCTATCTCAAAGAGAATGCCACTCTGGTAGAGGGTACCTTTCGGGTTTCGGGCTCGGCCAAGAGAATAAGAGATTTGCAGACATTGTTTGACACTGGACCCAGTGTGGGTGAAGTCATTGTGTGGGGGACGTGTCACTGATTGAGTTTGCAGTATGGCCGGAATATTGATTGGAAGAAGCTGCCATATACATCCCATGACGTTGGAACCATCTTTAGAAGGTATGTTGTCTTGCCGGTAGCGAGGAGTCTAGACTGACATGGGCAGGTTCCTAACGCAACTGCCGGTATGGATTCATTCTCCCTTGCACCTGTCTATCGCTCATGACTATCCTAGGAACCGGCTATATCTTACCGATTCTACGGCGCCTTCAGACTAGTCATGGAGAGGCATCTTTCCCAGCAAACGACATTTGAAGAAGCGCTCGAAGAGTACAAGAACCTCATCAAGGCACTTCCAGAGGTCCATCGCAATCTGCTATTATATGTACTTGACCTCCTGAGCGTCTTTGACAGACGTTCCGACACAAACTTGATGAATGCTGCGAGTGAGTCCAATGGCGGTCGCGCAAGTATCTCGACTGACCCGTTTGGCAGATCTTGCACTCATCTTTCAGCCGGGGCTGTTGTCTCATGAGGATCACGCTCTACAACCTCGCGAGAACGTCTTGTCGCAACAAGTGCTAGAATTCATCATCACTCACTACAAGAGGATCTCCGAGAGCATCGAGATTGTGAGGGGTTCAATATCTGCTCGGGACCAGACTGACATGCATTCAAGGGCAAGCCGAGACAGAAGAGCGCCAAGAAGAAGCCGCGTCGCAAGTCTAAGCCCACCAAGCCGCAACGCCCGCCACTGGTCAAGGCCGATACCGACCTGATGCTTCCTTCCGACTCGGACGACGAGGCTCCTTCGGGTGGCTACTACGTCGTAGAGGCCTCTGTCAAGAAATCGCCGCTACCTTCTCCCGCCCCTCGTCCTCTGCCACCATCGCTCGCGGAGAGGATCAACTCTGAAAGGGTCAACTCGCCACCACCTGCTGCCCCACGCACAGTCCCGCTGATGGATCTCATCGATCCGTCCGACTCTGATGACGATGCTCCGCCTGGAGGGTACGAGGTGCGCACAGGAAATTTCGCTGCGACCAGAGCGGCCCTACTCGCAAAGTCTCAGCAGGCGGAGCTGGACAAGGCGGCGAGTAAGGGGAGCACTGGGCTGTCCCGTCGAAAGACTGTGCCTGCCAAGGTCGGTGCTGGACTGAGCAAGAGGCGAGCGTTGGCGGTCAGGGAAGCTCCGTGAAAAGGTTTGATTGAGGCTTGGTATCTTGTGATTTGAACGAGTCATGGACTACGGGTGTGAAATGTTGTACGCTCGTACTTCGCTCAGCTCTTTTTTTGTGTATCGACTAGTAGAGAGAATGTCTGTAGCAGGGCAGTGAAGGTGCGAGTTATGATTTCGTCTACGTATTTCTTTTCTGTATGCATATCAGGATTAATGGTTTCGACTTGAAAGTGCGCGCGGTGCCACTCTGGCGGGGATTCCGGCTTCATTACCCTTTTTAAATACGCGTCCCGTTAATGACTCCCATTGTTCGTCGCGTCTCTCGTTTCCTCTGCTCTCTTTCAGCTCTCTTTGCATCCTCCCATCATCCAACATGGCCTCCAACATGGACATCGACAAGTCTCTCGACGAGGTTCGTCTTCCTCGCCCCGCTCCCCCCGTTGACGCCCCCAATCTCATTCCTCGTTCGCACACAGATCATCGCCGCCAAACCCAAGCCTCAACGACAGCAAAGACAAGGTGGCGCTAGCCGAGGCCGACGAGGTGGAGCTGGTGGTGGTGCGCCTGCCGCTGCGGGTGCCGGTGGTGCCCGAGCCCGGTACGCGTCAACGGTACCCAAGGCGGCAGGTGCTGTCCCGGCTGGCGTCCCCGAAGTGTTCAAGATCATTATCAGCAACCTCCCCGGCGATGTCACAGAAGCTGCCGTGAGAGTGAGTGCTGGAGGCGACATGGATGGAAGGGGAGGCTGACCATCGAACAGGATTTGATCCAATCGACTGTCGGGCCTGTCAAGAGTGTTCAGATGGCCTACACCGCCCATGGCAAGGGGAACGGTATCGCCACCGTCGTCTTCAAGAACAAGGGAGACGCGAGAAAGGCGCATGCTTCATGTAGGTTTCAGGGATGGATGAAATGTGGCTGATGAGGATAGACCACAACAGGATGATCGACAACCGTTAGTATTATTTTGGCCTGGTTCTGTGTTTCCGTCGCCCGCCCCCGTACGACCGTCCTGGTCCCGTATAGATGTGGGAAAATGGGGCGTATAGCGTCTTCCGAGCGCTGCACGCAGCGATGCTTGTGCGATAGAGGGAGATTGGCGAGCACCTGTCAACAGCACTCGCGGTAGCTGGCTCTCATGCCAGCGGGCGGCGGAACGGCAATCCATCGTATTGGGTTCACAACAAACTGACGACCTTTGTTCTCCTCTTTGCTCCACATTGTAACCTCTATCGACTACTGGCTATCGACTGTTCTTACTGGCCATACCATCCTACCTATATCGTCACAAACCTACATCCACTCCGCCCTTATATCGCATACTCTATCCCCCCACCGATCTTATCACTCGCTACAGAGCGTCCCATGAAGGTTGAGCTCTGTGTGGACCTGAACGCGGTCCAGGCTCCCCTGGCCAACCGCGTTGCCCCCGCTGCTCAAGGCCAGCAGGGTCAGCAGGGCCAGGGTCAGAGGCGTCGTGCGCCTGGTCCCAACAAGCCCCGTCCTGCCCGACCTCAGAAAAAGACTGCCGAGCAATTGGACGCTGAGATGGCTGTGAGTAATCTGTCGTACAGGGAGCACGCGCTGATGCGCTGTAGGACTACAAGCAGACTACTTCTGCTTAGATTCTTGATTTGGGTGTTTGCGGGTCGTCGCTAGTGATCCATGTACGGTATATATAAAGCTCCAATGCACTTGATTGTGATTTTAGCCTGAGCGGTGGTTTTGACTAGGTGATGCATCGTACAAACTAGAAATGAAGGGGCGAAGGGGCGAAGGGGCGAGCTGGACTGCCATCATAGCCAAGTACTCTTTACGCCCGCTTGGTACCAGGCGTTCTGGAAGGATAGTGGGTTGATCCCTGTATGTTTCTTGGCGTCTTGTAGGCGAAAGATAAAGTTGGCAAGGATGGCGATGAAGAGGGCGGCGCAGATGAGTAGGGGACCCCAGAGCAAGTCTGCCGGATATGAGCGACGTTGCCAGTGGCTGTCTCGTGACACTTACCAAAGCTTCCGGCGTCTCGGGCAGAGATCATGGTCAGTCGCTTCTGGAATATAGCCCAGCCATAGATCAGTACGCCGGCAGAGCTATCCGGGGTCAGCAGAAGCCTCAATCATCGTTGTAGGAAACGTACATGGCAGCATAGACGAAGGCAAACCACCTGGACAGAGAGTCGTGGGCTCCAAACAAGAGCCCAGAGGCAATGGTGGATAGTAGCAGCCCCATGGACAGGTAAGAGATGAAGGTACGTTCATTGGCGAACCAGACCTTGGCCTCTACCTTGACCGGCGTGGGAACTTTTTCTGGGGGATGTGAGCGGGGTACAGATGGCGCGAGACGGACGTACTGGGGACACGGATACGGACCGAGGGGTCGTTGATAGAATGGTAGTCTGTGACGAGGGGCCGTTCGGCTCTGGGATGTGGTCAGACACGGGAAGGGGGTTGTACTGGATACTGACTGGTCTGGGATCCTGTCTGCGCGCTTGCTCTTTGACCTGATTCCGTCGCCGCGCTTGGGGAGGAGGCGGAGGGCGCCCTGGGAGAAGGGCTGCCAGAATGCTTCAGCGAGGTGGCTCATCGGGTGGTATAGATGCAGACACAAAGTGGTGACGCACGTGCAGGAATATCAACACCCGGCGGCGGTCGCCGGGGATGCGATGCCACGCGGCTGCCACGTGGGTTGTGCCACTGGGCGGGGAAACGATATCACCGTCTCGCCACGTCCGCCTTCTCTGTGGTGGTCGCGTGGAGAGCATCAACGTATACGAGCACAGTACAGCAGCACAACATGGGTCTCTCCGTCTCAAAGCTCCTCAACGGCCTCTTCGGCAAGAAGGAGATGCGTGCGTTACACCGAAACCCCCGCCCCGCCCCCCCTCTGACCCCCCGCAGGAATCCTCATGGTCGGTCTCGATGCCGCCGGTAAGACCACCATCCTCTACAAGCTCAAGCTCGGCGAGATCGTCACCACCATCCCCACCATCGGTACGTCCCGCGACGCGTCATAGCCACGCGCACGCGACTCACCGCTCGCAGGTTTCAACGTCGAGACGGTCGAGTACAAGAACATCTCGTTCACGGTCTGGGATGTCGGAGGTCAGGACAAGATCCGACCTCTGTGGAGGCACTGTGAGTGGATGCGAACGTCACGCGCCGGCTGTGGCTCACCAGCAACACGACAGACTTCCAAAACACCCAGGGTATCATCTTTGTGGTCGACTCTAACGACAGGGAGCGTATCACTGAGGCTCGTGAAGAGTGTAAGTGCCATCCGTCCGTGCAAACATCCCTGGTGCTGACCCTCGAAAAGTGCAACGGATGCTGAGCGAGGATGAGTTGAGGGATGCTTTGCTTCTCGTGTTTGCCAACAAGCAGGTTAGTCGCAAAGCCGATATATATGCGCGAAAACACGCTCATCCATCCGTAGGATTTGCCCAACGCTATGAACGCTGCCGAGATCACCGACAAGCTCGGTCTCCACTCTCTCCGCCAGCGATCCTGGTATATCCAGGCCGCTTGCGCTACTTCTGGCGACGGTCTCTACGAGGGTCTTGAATGGGTGCGTGCTGCGCTTTGTCATATGGCTGTGCTGACTTGTCTTTTCATCAGCTCTCCGCCAACCTCAAGAAGAAGTCTCCTTAATCCATTCTCCTTGCCGCTCTCCCTTTTTCGTCTGTCCTCCCGGGTGCTCAAATGGCCGTTCAAGCCCTCTTTCGTCGCTGTCTAGCCCAATTATTTCTCGACTTTGAATGAATCTTTTCCCTTACTGTCAGCAAAAGGTGTTATCGAGCATATGATTATGCATTCCGTGGGACCGCGCTCACTTGTTTCGATGGCCGTCTTGTCTTGGGCGCACGGTCACGAGGGTTGCAGAGAGAGAGTATCTACAACATCGCATTCTGCCTCTTGTGGGTGTATCTGCAGAGCAGCATCTTTTTGGACACCAGCAGACTTGTGTATATCTAACTTGGGATGTGTAACTGGTTGGGCTTCCCCAAATGAGATTGCCCGAGCTCACAATGACATCTCATGTCATGCGATATGCGGAGCTCTGTTGGTCCACGGATGGAGAGATACCTATCTACTTTACAGCCTGTACTGCTAGGCCTACAAAGCATTCAATAGAGTATAGATGTATGATGCAGTGCATCACCCTGTTGACGGACGTTCTTGCTTCCTTAATTTGAATGTTGGAGTTGTACAGGGGAGACTGCTGCAGCTGCTATGTGGTATATACATAGTCAGGCTTCTGATGATTGTGTTGATATTAAAGCTCTGCCTCTCTTTCTAGTCTGGTCATGGGAGCTCAAGGAGGAATACTAGGAGGTTTTAATTGAGCTCGAGAAGATAGCGGCATCGGGAAAAAGATACGCGCCGCATCACTACTTCCCTGCAGTGCTTGCTCTGCGCCTGACACCCAGACACATCACCATCTAATGCTCAATATCATGTTCTGCTAGATGTACAATGCATTGTGGTGGGTCTAGAAGTACCCCCCATTACTGTCATGGGTCACACATAATGATACTGCAATCTGCAAATGTCTTCCCAGTGTGTGCACTGTTTTAGACTAATTCGCGCCTTCTTTTCTGCTTCTGCAGCTCAGTGTTCAGCCAGTTCCATGGAGCACAAGCGGCACTTAAACCTATGAAGATACGGTAAAAAGTTGCTCAAGATTCAAAAATCAAACACACATATGATGGATATGTTTCAGATGTTCCTTCCCTTCTATTATCTCTTGTGTCTTGTACATTCCTTCTTCCAGCATACTGTAACTGCTCTGACATACACCCCATGTCTACAGGGGAAGCTCCTGCAAATGTCATACTTGTGTGCACTTATCTGATGGGGAGTGTGGGTATGGGTGCTGGTAGGGGCAAAGAACAGCGGCCGCTCAGCAGTCATGGACCATGGTTGTACTCCTGGTGGGAATAGCATTTTGATGAGATGAGTTGCCATCTCTCAGGATGAGTGGTGTGATGGAGGAGGTATAAAGATGGCTGATCCAGGATCAAAGGTGATGTGATGCAAAGCAAGTCATCTCTGCTAATTGGCAATGTGGTGGAGAAGACAGAGGAATTGTGTTCAGTTTGGGTTTGAGCCTGGGCAGTAGCCTCGGTAGGCAGTGTAGCTGTGTAGGGCAGCAAAAAGTATGTAAGGTAGAAAGAGGTAGAAAGGAGATGCAGGAAGGCGCGGACTAGGAGCAATGAGAGTCAACATGAGGTTGTGGGAGAACTGTGCAAGAATCATCTTTCTGTAATCACTGCTGGCAATCCTCCCAGTCATAACAGGTATCTTGCCCTCTTCCTTTTCAGAACCCATGCACTCTACCAACTCATTTGAGCACTTGATATGTGCATCTTCAGCAATGTCATACTGCTATTTCAAACTATCTTTGGACTATTATGCACTTGGTGTGACTACTGCCAGAGATAAAACAGTCGAGCATGTCATTCATGGCCAAGGATCATCAGCAGATATACCTATGACTGGTGGGGATGGAGACTATGCTGAAGCACGGCTAGTATGCAAATGCCAACAATGTCTTCAACAACAGCAAAGAGGACAACAATGATGCAACATTATGGTTTAGCAGCAGGTATGTCTTGACTGGATCTTGTATTACATGGGGTGATGCTGACCTCAGCATGGACACTCAGTGTACCATGTTGGCTGCCTACTTGCTCCATGGACTAACTCTATCACTCTTGTCTCTGATATTATTCTCTTGAGCAGCTGTGCAACATACTCATTCATAACAAGGCTCCTCTCCATTTTGATTGGATCCGTCCTTCCAATATTCCAACATGTTGCCATAGCCAACCTCCTTCTGTATTGTTATTTGACATGTGTTTGTCATGTCAGCCAATAGTCACTTAAGGTAGCCAACCCATATCTTGCCCTGTCTCTTGTCCAATCACCATATTTTTATTGAAGATCAGAAGCTGGGTGCTGGGAATAAAGACCTCAACAACTCCCTCAAATCTCTCTTTCCTTGACCCACTCTTCTTCTTCAGCCTTCACAGCTCTTCTGTCAGGTCTATACCCACAATGTTACATACTGATCCAGCAGTGAAATAGTATTCTATTGACAAGGTCTGATGAGCTTGGTATGCTAGAGCAACTATAGCAGACTCAACTGGTGGAGTGTATTGGGATACAAATCTAAGACTAGGCCAACTGTCTGGTTGCTTTTCTGTGGAAGGTGTGGTTGTATATAGTTCTATCCACTGAGCCCTTTCCATATGCAAATTAGACATATACAAGGTCGCTGAGAAGCCTCAAACCTATGGGAAACTACATCAGCAAATAGGGGCCGCGTCTTGGAGAATACGCCGAGATTTTGAAATGGTTTGCAGAACCGCGGCACCATACCAAGGCCGGTTTTGGGCCATTTTGGGTTTTCAAGGCATGTCCCAGCTTGAAATCATTTTCAAGGCCTTGAAATCCCTTGAAATCATTCTCAAGTGCATTCCTGCAACCATCTAACATTCTTTTGGCCTTGATTGAATTGTCCTGCCCTTGGCAATCCCACTTGGCTAGAAGTACATGCATAAGTATGTCCTACGTACGTGTACGTACATCGGTATGACTAGATATGGTATGGACGTTACGGCAGTCCCGCCTGCAGCTGACATTGCAGCACTCAGCTATCTCACAACAACGACCGTCTTGCCGCTGACAATGAACAACAACTTCATTGAACAAAGGCCTCGGTAGCACCAGCCGCCACACTTGGGCATTGCTGACTCACCGACTGACGCTGCGTCACCCCGCGCCGGGGCCTGCACACACCGTTAGTGTCACACAGGCCGCCCACCATGAATACATATAGATCAATAGAGCCCCTCAACTCTTTCATTCTTGCCTTCGTTTGATTCACACTGCTTCTGATATCCCACTTGACCATAGCCACACACAGAACTCACAGAGACTCTCTCAGAACATGCCCAGACACCCTGACCTCGATGACAACACTGGCTCTATGGACTCTGACCGGGCAGACAGGGAGGGCAAGCAGAGAGGGCAAGCAGGGAGAGTAGCAAATGAAATACATGTTCTATAGATGTCTGATGTAGCTTGTCTGAGTGTCAGTTTGATATCTGTAACAGCTGCATACAATGTCCACCGGACATTCTAATATACCTCTGAGAATATTGATAAAACGTCTTTGGTACCCCAGGAAAATATCAAGGCGACATTGGCAACAGCTGTATACAACGTCCATTAGACATTCTGACATACCCTTGAAAATATCCATATGATGTTTGTGGAAGCTGCATAAAAATATCCGCACGACATTTTGAAGGACACCCATCAAAATGTCTGTGTGGCATTTGGACGCCAAAATGTCTGCGCGACATCGGAATCAATTGCTTGGATCACATCATACGGACATCCGCGTGCGGGAATATCCGCAGGACATTTGAGTTGACCGGCGGTGTAGTTCCCAACTCCAAGTTTAAACAGATACTTCCTGCGTACCATCTGCTATTATCCTTAGATCCTTCTCAACAGATCCCTAGACTCTTCTCAACTGGTTCTCAATGAGGCTACTGTTTATGTCACAAATCAGAACCAAGTCTGATAGCTAGCTACTGAATGACAGACAGTCATTTCTTTCATGTATATAAGGAAGCCTAGGTGCTGGGACAGGTGACATCACTCAATTGAACGTGGAGTCCTTTGGTACCGCTGTTGGAGTTGGATACACGGATACACTAAAATGAGTTGCATGGGCGCCAACCAGAGCCACTGAAACCATCAAGGTGGTTTTAGTGGGACTATCTGATGACATCAAAGATGCCATCTCCTTTCATTCTACATTTCAAATTTCTACCGGACTTCAACAATGACCTCCCCACAACCTACCAATAAGTCGGCCAGCCCTGCTCTGTTTCCCCAGAGTGCAAATGTGCATGCAAGGAACATGAAAAAGCCTGCAACAAAGGCTACTTTAGAGGAGCACCAGTTGATTGACAAGGTTTTGATTGAGAACCTCTCCTCTCTCCAAATGTGAGTGGATTGCAGTCCTTTGTCAGATCCTACCCACAGTGTCCCTATAGCTGTCCAGCAGTATAAAGTATCTCTTGACTAAATGAAGAAAAGGGGCTATCTATGTATATGTATATGTCGATTCCAATCAACAATATACGCGTACGTGTCGGGACCTGATCAGCAAGGCTATCTTGGACTTGATAGGGGCTTGCACTAACCTAAGGCTGATGACTTCCTGTCGGCTTAGCTAGTATAGTTTGAATAGGCCTGTTCGCTTGCGATTCCTAGTTCATAGGCAAGTCAGACGTATTCAAGGTCGCTGGGATCCTTGAATCTATGTAAAACTATCTACTTATATAGACATCCAGAGCCCTACTGGCTTACTCAGCTTTCCCATATTCGCCACCCAACTGACTAAGCCGTTCCCTTGGCTTGCTACGCTTTCTCGTGAGTTGCTATGGAAATAAGTCCTGGAATATCTAATCACACGATATCTTGGAAGCAGACTCTATGTAAAGAAAAGTGTCTCTATGTATAGAAAGTGTCTCTAGGTTACAAAGTAATTGGGCATCTCCTGAGTCATTATGGGGGTGGAGAAGAATGAGGGTGCTTGGGTGTCTAGGTCTTGGTTGGAGATAGGTATTGGGTTGAGTCAGGGTTGGTTGTGTCTTTGAGATGAATTGCTGTGTAAGTGGGGTGATAGCAATGTCTCTAGATATGAGTAGCTCCTGGTACGATATGATGGTTGTGATGTACCAGAATAAACAAGAGGGGTGTCTCAAACGAGGAAGTAATGACAAGTGTTGAGTGATGAGTGTTGC